AACATACATACTTTTCTCTGGCGGTGTATGTTGAAGTATCTACAAAAGGTGAGAAATTTCAATGCGCACGCGACCGTGTTCGTATATCTGCGTTGCTCCATTTTTTATATCCATGCATATGCAGATATGGTTGGTGGATTTGTACCCGATTCAACTGCCTGTTAACAGGCCATCCAGCACTTTTTTGTCTTGCTTGTCGATACTCCGTATGGCATTTGGCCTTTGGTCACGAGTCAGAGACCAACAACTCTTCCCACTTAATTGGAGGAGGAACTGTTGACAAAGATAATCAGAATATTGAAGTGTGATTGCTACCAATCTTACGCTTGCCTGGAGTGTGTAGAAAGATATAAATTGAGAAGAGGGGGCGCACAGTAGGTTCTCTTCAGTTCGATGTTGTGATGCTGTGTTTTTCATGCAAATTGCCAAATTCTGTAGCTCGGGAGATCAGAAGGAACGGGATATATTCATGGGTACGAGCGACCTACTATATATCTGCTGATAACTTGAGTATCAGTAGACATGACACAACAAACGCATTAGAGACTAGGCGCCTTTATTTCGGCAGTTCCCTCGGGAGCGGGGGGTTCGGTTTGCTGGGGACGGGCTGCTTAAAAGAAGGCAAAGGGATGCAGGAGTAGTGACGAAGACAACCCTAATTCTTGGTTTCACGATTCGTTATTTGGTCGGTGGAGCTAGCGCCTCGTCGCATCTTGTTTGGGTGCATGTGTTATTAGAGCATTTCACCCCAGGGGAGGAAGTGAAACAAACATTTACACTATCAGTATCAAGCCAGCTGCATTGACCTGCTAACACGGTTTCCTTGTTGGCGTCGGGCCACCGGGGCTTCATCTGAGCTACAAATGTGCGCGGGATGGGTGGGGGGAGGGCAGCTTCTACGCCTGACAATTCCCACTGGGCTGCCTGGAACGCCTCTAAAACCAGAGCATATTGGTTTGGTTCTGATTATCATACTAGTACGGATGATCGTATTAACTAGGCAAGTGATGGAAGTACAGACAATTACTTCAATTCTGTGTATCTACAGCCCAAGTCTGCAGCGACCTCCTTCAATATTCACTTCCGATGAAATACTGTTCTACTTTTAAAGCGAGAACTCTTCTCATGTGCCGGGTGCT